GCCTCTGACACTCAAAACGGCTTCAACGTGGACCTGACTGGAGTATTCCAGGACTTACTCCCTCTTGCAGGAGGGGATAAGGAGCCACCAACCACTGCAGCAGAGCCACTCCCTCTATCACCAAACCTGCTCTAGAACACACTCTGCTGTTTCTTTTTTGAAGAGATGCCACTTCCTCAGCAGTGGGGGAGTGGGCATGAGCGGGGCAATATATAAAACAGTAAAAGCAGGGGAGAGCCAGTGTTATTGGTCAGCATGCTCCTGCTGCCCCATGGCCTGGGAAATGGAGCAGCCAGAGCATATGGCAGAAGGACGGGATGTCATCCAAAGAGACCTGGCCAAGCTGGAGAGGTGGGCCTGTGTCAACCTCATGAGGTTCAACAAGGCCAAGTGCAAGGTCATGCACCTGGGTTGGGGTAACCCCTGGTATCAATACAGGCTGGGGGAAGAAAGGATCGAGAGCAGCCCTGCTGACAGGGACTTGGAGGTACTGATGGATGAAAAGCTGGACATGAGCTGACAATGTGCTCTGGCAGCCCAGAAGGCCAACCGTACCCTGGGCTGCATCAGGAGAAGCGTGGCCAGCAGGGCGAGGGAGGTGATTCTGCCCCTCTACTCTGCCCTGGGGAGACCTCACCTGGAGTACTGCATCCAGCTCTGGAGCCCTCAGCACAAGAAGGACATGGACCTGTTGGAACGGGGCCAGAGGAGGGCCACAAAAATGATCCGAGTGCTGGAGCCCCTCTCCTATGAGGACAGGCTGAGAGAGTTGGGCTTGTTAGCCTGGAGAAGAGAAGGCTGTGGGCAGACCTGATTGAGGCCTTTCAGTACCTAAAGGGGGCCTATAGAAAAGATGGGGAAAATCTTTTTAGTAGGGCCAGCTGTGACAGGACAAGGGGTAATGGTTTTAAACTAAACCAGAGAAGGTTTAGGCTGGATATAAGGAATAAATTCTTTGCACTGAGGGTGGTGAAACACTGCGAGGGGTTGCCCAGAGAGGGGGTAGAGGCCCCATCCCTGGAAACGTTCAAGACTGGGTTGGGCAGGGCTCTGAGCAACCTGATCTAGTTAGCGGTGTCCCTGCTCACTGCAGGGGGGTTGGACTAGATGACCTCTAAAGGTCACTTCCAGCTCAAAACATTCTATGATTCTATGATTCTATAACAAAGGCAACTTTCAGAAAAGAACTATTTTCAGTGCAACCCATTGCAAGTTGTCCAAAACCTTCTATATGTGAATATGTAGGGAAGAGAAGTAGAGAAAGAAACAAGCAAAGAAAAAGGAAAGGAGGATAGAAAAGGGGGAGGTATCACCACCCTTGGATTCCAGGTGGTTGTCTTGTTGCGGAGTTTGGATCCGTAGGTGGTGGATTGACAAAGACAAAATGTGTGCGCTCATCCTTATGTAATCTCATTAGTCCATGGCCACGACTGGGGTGGCTACCATTCCACTTCCGTGCAGTCAAGTGTTCTAGAGAGTTTCTGAATTGGGTCGGAAGGATATCCGTGGGACTTGAAGGTCTTTGGTGATCATGGGTTCCCCCCGTGAGATCCTTGTTGACTGGCACGTGCTCAGTTGTTGCCCTCTGGAGGAAACCAAGGGGGCAGGGCCTCTTCAGGGCTTGCCCCACCCGTCTCTGTTCCCCCTCTGCCCAGGCATGTTGTTTTGAGACAAGGAAACATCCGACTGCCGGCTCAGTCCCAGACACTGCGACAAGGCTGAAATCCCACAACAGCAATGACCTCTTGCGGCAGTGTGCTCCCCGCCTCGTCTCTGACTCCCCCTCCTTTGACCTCTTTCAAGTGATAATCACCTGTGGCGGTGGTGATAGATGCATCTGGTCTGTGTCTGGTCCTGAAGGATGCACCCACTGGATGTAGGGGGAGACAGATAACAATACAATAGCCAAGGGCTATTGTGGAATGTGCCCACCTAAGCACAGTGGTCAGTATGCAAATATGACTATATCTTACCCCCATAAATAGTGAGCAGCCCAAGAGCCCTTTGAGCTCTCCTTCGCGGCAGCGGACTGCATGCCAGGATCTCCCCTTGAGCAGGGACGCCTTTCAAGTTTACTCCTTGAGGTTGAGAGATTCCTTACCATGACAGATTCTCGGTAAGTGACTAACAGCATGCTAACTTGGAAATCTTAGCTAAGTGACATACAGGATTAATTGCGCATATATAATCCTTTAGACATAAACCGTTGACCAAGTCTGGGACTACAATTGGATCCAGCTGCACCTAGACTCCTCTCTGAGGGAGTTTAGAAAGCAAATTTAGAAATTCATGACTCAAGGGGAGGGTCTCTCTGACAGTCTTGTCTGACCCTGTCCTCTGTGCAGTAAATAACAAAGTGTACCTTGCCATCAAATCTCATAAACTATTGTCGCATTTACCGCTGAACTTTGTTAACTCACTGTTTTACACCAATAAACCGTATTATTTTTGCCTCCCTCTCACTCCATCCGCGACACCTCTTTGCCACCATGGCTACGGCTATTGTATCTGCAACCAAGGCCTACCAGAACATACCTTAACCTCATTCAGGATGATCTCAATACCTCCTTGTCCCACCCAGAAGTGTCATGCCATAGTCCTGCCCTTGGCATTGCCCACATCACACTGCCCCAGGAAGAGACTTGAGCAATGTGTGAGGGACAGGATCTCCCTTCCCAGGGGCTGGTTTTCAGAACTTGTCTGAATTTGTCATTTGGCTGAATGCAACGCATCCAGGTTTACTCATCACCAGAGCCACCTTTACATTGCCTTTGCCTGCCTGTCATTATTGCCTCCAGTTTTCTTCTCTAACCAGCCCCTGGGGAGGCTTTGGTGGTAATGGTTCTCAGTGGGACCCATTAACACTCAAAAAAACTTTGGAGTTTACAGCTGACCTTGACTTGAGAGGCTCCTCAACTTTCTCTCAGTGTCTGAGATTCATCGATTCTGCCTCAAACCCACCAGGTAGGTCATTAAAGTCCCTTGGGCTGGTCCCCTGCTGCTGATCTGGGCTTGGCTCCTGGGATGGAAGGAGCTCATGGTGAGCAGGCAGTGCTGCAGAGAGACAACTCTGCCCAGGAGCAGCTCCTCTGCAAGGCGCAACAGGGCTGAGGGCACTGCCTGCAGGCACCGAGGGGAGAGGAGTGAGGCAGAGAGAGGTTAAAGGCTGTGTGGGTTGGGAGGACAGCTGAGAGGTCACTGGGGGAGAAAGTTTCAGAGCCCTATACACGGTAAGTCTTTGGGTGCAGGGCAATGCCACTGAAGTTCCTGAAGAATTCTCATAAAGCTGTCGTAGCCCACAGACTATGGGATGTTTCTCCAGTGTAGAGGAGGATAAGGGCATGCTCCAGAGCAGGGCTTCCCTGCAGCACTGTCCGAGGGACAAAGCATGATGGCTTTCTTGTCCCAGGATGGATGCAAGGGTCTGAAGCCAGGCGTGCAGCCAAGAACTGTCCTTCAGAGAACGGTTCCCGTGCCTCAGGGTACAACACTAAGCCTACCCAGGGAGGTCCCCACAGCACTGCAGCAGAAGCTGTGGCTGGAAGGTGTGCTCTCCAGCAGGGCAGGGTCCTTCTGCTGTTGAGAGGGTGCTGCCAGGGCGAGGGCTGCTCACAGCTCTAGGTTGCTCCCAGCACATTTCCCAGGGGACATTTCAAGAAGCACATCAAGACAGGGACTACCTGGAAGGGAAGGTGCTATCTGGAGTCTGTGCTTTCAGTTTCTTGCTGCGGTGGTGCAGAAAAATGGTCATAGAGCATTAGCACAAGGTTAGCACAAGAGTCTGAGACTCGGAGAGGATTACAGTCATTGGTGAATACCTCTTCAAGGAATTTGATAAAGTGCCTTCACTCACCTCACCATACAGAAAGCCTTGTCACTTGTGTGGTCTCCTTGGGGTATAGCTGACCTGATCCTTAGGGTTTGCCAACACAAAAGTGCACTGGGGCAATGCTGTGCTGCCAGGAGGTGCCTGCAGGGCAGAGATGAAGTGCACAGCTGGGGTCTGTGAGCACGGGAGAGATGGGGACAGAGAAACAGCTCTCAGCAGGGACATCTGGGATGTGGGTTTGGGCACCTCCCTGTCAGCCCTTTACTGGACATGTATTTCCCCCTAATAAGCCCCCTTATTCTCCTCTCCCACCCAGTAGAACTTCTGCCCTCAAGGATGTGGGGTCTATTGCAGCAGCTGCCTCGTCGGTGGCCACAGCTCCAGTAGAAGACACTCTCCTGAGCACCCCTCAGCCCCTCCCTGGCCTTGCCTCCCTTGGGGTATTTCTCCTTGTTTCTCCACCTGTCCTTGCTGCTGGTCCTCTTGGTTTCAGGCTCTCTGAGATGGGGGCTTCAGTAGCAGCTCAACAACTGACCCTGCAGCTTCTGCCATGCAGATGTGTCTATGGTGCCCAAGCCCCCTTCTACCCTGTGGGTTTCTAGGCAATGCCAGCCACGGGGTGAGGATAAAGCTGATTCTCAGTTAAGGACACTCAATCTTCTGGGCATCCAAAAGCTCACTGCTCTTCACTGGAAGATCTGCACTTTGAAACTGGATTCCTCTGCTCTCCGTGTAATGGTCCTCCAGACAACAGAGGTGCAAGAAAAAGGCAGCTGAGAGCAACACTGGTGGACAGACCAGCTCTCCTACTTCTGCACTAAGATCCTGTCCTATTGCCTCCCAGGACTCTCAAAATAGCATTTGTAGAGTTGCAAAAATTTCTACTCAGGGATTCCTGCCTTCAAAAATGACTCTTCAAGTGGCACAGGGGTAACAGGAGCAAAATGAACAAACCTACCCCTGTCCCCCCCAGCTCTGTTCTGCATACAGGTGAGTTGGGAGTGACAATGGTCAAAAGCTCTTCTATATAAGGGGTAGATTTAGCCCGCAATCACTCCTGGTGCCTATCTGCCTGTTGCTGCACCGCAGGACTGACTCCTCTGGAGCCCACACCAGAGTCCTCTGCTCCACATTGCACCCTCAGCCAGCACAAACCAAGGATCATGCCAGGATGCAGCAGATCAAGGATGTTCCTCCTTGGACAGGCCCCCATGTGCAGAGGGAACAAATATTCAATGGCAGCTCCATGAATGAGTTCCTCCTCTTGGTGTTTGCAGACACACGGGAGCTGCAGCTCTTGCACTTTTGGCTCTTCCTGGGCATCTACCTGGCTGCCCTCCTGGGAAATGGACTCATCATCACCGCCGTAGCCTGCGACCACCGCCTCCACACCCCCATGTACTTCCTCCTCCTCAACCTCTCCCTTATTGACCTGGGCTGCATCTCCACCATTCTCCCTAAAACCATGGCCAATTCTCTCTGGAACACCAGGGCCATTCCCTACTTGGGATGTGCTGCACAGGTCTTTCTGTTTGCCGCCTTAATCTCAGCAGAGATTTACCTTCTCACAGTCATGGCGTATGACCGCTACGTGGCCATCTGCAAACCCTTGCACTATGGGACCCTCCTGGGCATCAAAGCTTGTGTCCACATGGCAGCAGCTGCCTGGGGCAGTGGCTTTCTCAGTGCTGTGCTGCACACGACCAACACATTTTCCCTAACCCTCTGCCATGGCAATGCTGTGGACCAGTTCTTCTGTGAAATCCCCCAGATCCTCAAGCTCTCCTGCTCAGACTCAGGCTACCTCAGGGTAGTTGGCCTTCTTGTGGTTGGTGTTTGTTTAGCATTTGGGTGTTTTGTTTTCATTGTGGTGTCCTATATGCAGATCTTCAGGGCTGTGCTGAGGATCCCCTCTCAGCAGGGACGGCACAAAGCCTTTTCCACGTGCCTGCCTCACCTGGTTGTCATCTCCCTGTTTATCAGCACTGCCATGTTTGCCTACCTGAAGCCCCCCTCTATCTCCTCCCCTTCCCTGGATCTGGCGGGTTCAGTTCTGTACTCAGTGGTACCTCCAGCAGTGAACCCCCTCATCTACAGCATGAGGAACAAGGACCTCAAGGATGCCTTGAGAAAACTGATCCAATGGACTTTGTGCCATGCACAGAAATTTTCTACCCCTTCTCTGCAGCACTCCCAGAGTATATTTTAGGCCAGGCATATCTTTTTTTTTTCTCTGATAATCATAGTTAGAGTTAATTGTTTGGGTTCATAGCACTTCACCTGAGGCTCTGTCCTGTTTTGGCTGATCTTTAGAGAACCATATCTCATGTCTTGCCTTCCTAATAGCATCTCTGCAATAAAAGTGTGGTGCCTGCAGCCTGGGCTCTCTTTGACACCGTTGTGGCTAAGAACAAGCCAAAACAATTGGACTTGCCAAGTGCCTTTCCACCTCTTTTGTCCCTGTGTTTGGGGGTATAATCTCATGGTATCACTGGGATCTGTGAGACACCAAGCACTTGGTTTAAGGCTCTCTTCTTGGTGTCCAGGGACATTGGAAATGGTTGCACGAGCTTCCAGTCACCTCCCTCGGGCTGTTACAGCTATGACAAGGCTGATGACAGATGTCAGTCCATGTGGAAAGTAGTCAGGAGAGGACAGGGACGCTCCATGTGCTCTGGGGTGGAAAGTGAATGGAGACTCAGAAGGTAAAACACCCTCAGAGATTAAGTCCCCCCCACATTAAAGCACCAAAGCCAGGTACCCACAAACCAGGACTCTGCAGTGCTGTGGAAGTCAGTGAAGATGCAGACAGCACAGGGAAGAGAGACTGCAGAGATGCAGGAGCTGCCTGAGGAGCCCCAGGGCCAGACTCTCCTGCTGTCCCTGGGAGCAGGGCTGGCGGGAAGGCCGAGTAGGGCAAAGGCAGCCTGGGCTGGGGATCATCCACAGCGTGAATGCAGGTCAGCCACAGAGCGAGTGGATTCTGCTGGCACGTGGGGCCAGCACCAGCCCTGGGGCTGGTGGGGAGGCTGAGACCCCTCTCTGCCCCCCAGGACATGCTGTGCCCTTCAGAGGAACTGGGACCGTAGGATGAGTGCCCAGAGCTTTGCAGCACCCTGTGGTGGTCACTGCTGTGGGGCCAGCCCAGTTTGGGCTCCTCTGCTGGGCTTGGCTGGGGAGAGGACAGGGAAGGTGGGGGAGAGCTCTCTACACAACCAGGCAGCGTCCCTGTACTCGTTCCAGAATGCCTGTTCCTGCTTCCACTGCCTCTGCATTTCCTTCTGGCCCTGTCATTTGACCAGCAGTCAAACTTGCCTTCCTTTCCTGATTTCTTACACCTGGAGACTGAGAGCTCTTGCGCTCTATGCAAAGCGTCCTTAAAGACCTGACAGCTCTATTCTGCTCCTTTGCCCCTGAGGGCAGTTTCCATGGGGGCCCTAGGGACTCACTCCCTGAAGAGCCGGAAGTTTGCTTTCTGAAAATTCAGAGTCCTGACTTTACTCTTCACCTGACCCATATCCCTCAGGACTGTGAACTCCACCAGTGCATGATCACTGCAGCCCAGGATGCCCCCAGTCCTGACCCCTCTGATCAGCTCATTGTGTTGGTGACCAACAGGCCCAGTATCGCATCCCCTCTGGTAGGGCTGTCTATTACCTGGCTTAAGAAGTTATTCTCCGTGCACTCCACAAATCTCCTGGGTTGCCTACAGCTCGCCGTGCTACTTTTCCAGAAGATGTTGGAGTGGCTGAAGTCCCCCAGCAGGACAAGAGCCTGTGAACACGATGCCTCCTGTAGCTGGAGGAAGAAGGCTTCGTCATTAGGCTCCCCTTGATCGGGTGGCCTGTAATAAACACCAACCACCAGCTTCCCTTTGTTGCCTTGGTCTCTAATTCTTACCCATAAGCTTTCAACCTCTTTGTGGCTGTTCTTCAGGGACAGCTCTTCACCCTCTATCCATCTCTTGATGGAGAGGGAAACCCCTCCCCGCCTCCTTCCTCACCTGTCCCTTCTGAACAGCCTGTAGCCATTGACAGCCACACTCCAGTCATGCAATTTTTCCCACCAAGATTCAGTGACAGCAACAAGGTCGTAGCTTTCTAGCAGCACAGTGGCTTCCAACTCCTCCTGTTTGTAGCCCATGCTGCGTGCATTGGTGTAGAGGCACATCAGTTGGGCTGTTGGCTGTGTCACGTTCTTCGAGGAACACCCCTTCATTCCTTTAAGGCATTTCACCAGTGTTTCCTTGTTGGCTCCTTTTACCTCAGGAGCCCCTGGCTCATCTCCATGAGACTTCAAGTGTGGTCCAATGTATTCGGCACGTCTCAGAGTAACACGCTGAACGCCTGAGGGACATCACTCGTCAGAGTCTCTATCTGGACATCAAGCTGCTGATGACTATCCTCTGGAAGCAATCATCCAACCAATTCCTTATCCACTAAACAGTCCACCCATGAAATGCTTAGCTCTACAAATTAGAGAGAAAGATATTGTGGGGACCGTGTCAAAGGCTTTGTAGAAGGCCAGATAGATGACATCCATTGCTTTTCCCTTGTCCACTGTCCTTGTCACTCCATCATCAAACGCCACTAGGATGGTCATGTGGGGCCCCCTGTGCTCTGGATCTCCCTGCTGATGCCCAGAGAGGAGCACGGAGGTGTTTCATCAGTCATTGCAGCAGGGAGGCAGAGGGGTCCAAGAAACTCTGGTCAGGACACGGTGTCACTAAATAACACTGGTGCCCACGCACTCCCTGCTCTGGGAACTGAGCACCAGGCCAAGGAGGTGCTTGAGGAGGGGAGCAGGCTGTGCCCCACTGAGCATGAGAAAGAGGAGAGGGACAGGGTCTTTGCAGAGACCCCGCAGAGGAGAGATCTTGGGGATCAAGATGGAGCAGGGAAGGAAGGACAGCTGGAGACCACAGCAGAGAAGCACTAAAGGGAGAGTCCTGCCCAGGGGAAGGCTGGGGACTTGTGCTGCTGGAGGAAGGCTCCTTCTAAGCTGCAGATGTACAGCTCCAGAGCAGGGACAGTGCTCAGGCAAGAGGTGAAGGAGCCAGCAGGGCTGGGGCAGGCTGCAAGAAGGCAGGCGGGCTCTGCAAAACAGTCAAAGGGAGAAAAATCATTGCCGAAGCCTGGGGTTGAA